TCAAACTATGAGTTTGCAGGTGAAGATCACTTGAATCTAACAAGTTTCAGCGTAATTGTGTTTGCTTGATAACTTGAATAAAGAGGCGTTCTGAGGGGTCGAAATTTCAAAACCTACTGTCACGTCTCATTTTTTTTGTATCTTTTTCTTGTTCTTTTTTTTTTTTTTATGTTTCAAAATCATAATTTTTTTCTTTTCAATTATCTAATTATACTCTTACTTTTTTATATTTTAAATTTATTTTATCGATTTTTTACTTTTGTCATTAATTAAAAATTATGGAATCTCAATTTTATAATTTTATTATAAAAATTTAAATATAAAATATACCAAAACCAAAGCTTTTTCCTCTTATATGTAAAAAAAAGATACAAAAAGAAATGAAGAGTATTATCTTTTATAATACAAAAATATATAAATGTAAAATTTTTCATATATAATTTTTAAATTATAATATCATTATAAAAAAATTAAGAAACAAATAACAAAAAAAAATTAAATGTACAAAAAAAAAAGGAAATAAGCCTAAAGCGATAGATTTTTTAGTACATAGGAATCAAAATTTAAAAGAAATTGAAAATAAATTTGTAAGTGTATGATTGAACTTCAACTTTATTAAAATATCCCCTAAAAAAATAAATAAATTATTTAAGCTAAACCTCAAATTCAAATGGTACCTTTAAATAATATCTATTTTAGTTCAAAGGTAGCTTTAATAATAAAGGATTGGGCTGAGTTAGTTGACAGTTAAGGCCATTAATAAGTGTATATGGGGACATATCACACTTATCACCAATTGATTGAACATGCAATTGGACTTCTGCCTCACTCCTCAGCTTTTCTTCAGGCTTAAACCTTCATAGCCCAACTACCTTTCTTATCTATTTCATTTTCGGCTATTAAAGCTCGATTAAATTATTATAAATAAATGTCAATATTTTCCAGATATTTAGTTATATTTATTTAAATTACTTAATATAAGAATTTTATTTTTATTATTTTTATTTTTAAAGGAATTTCATAAATTTAATTTACGTTGAAGTCATCATTTCGTGTAAGGATTTTTTTTTAATTTAGATAATAATAAAAAAATTTTTAAATTAAACAATATTAAATAATAAAAGTAATAATAATTAATATTTTACTATCTTTTAAAGTGAACCGAAAACAAAATTTTAAATCAAAGGTCTAGCAATGAAACAAGTTCCGTCCAATTTGGATAGGTTGAGATTGACATGTTTATTTTCCTTTTTTTTTTTTGTGTTTTCTTTTTTATCTTTGTTAATTGCTAAATTATTATTTGGATTTTTTAATTATAGATCTGAATTTCTTTTTTTTTTTCGAATTTGACATTTTTTTTCCTCTTTATTTTGGAATACTTATAATTGTTGATGACGGCAAAGCAAAAACACTAACTTTGCCAACGCCAGCCACAACTCTTTCATTTTCTGTTTATTCTTTCTCTTGTATTTGTTTTTTTTTTTTTCTCTTTTGATTTGAAAAAAAAAAAATTCAAACTCAGTTGATTGTCAATTGAGAGGAAATCTTGGGCAATTAACCCACCTAATTTGCATGGATTTACTTTAATTGAAACAAAATATTTTGTACACGTAAAATCCATGTCAAACATAAATGTCAAATTATATGAAAAAAATAAAATAAATGTATATTCTTTTTTTTTTGGCAAATAAATGATAAATCATTTAATTAATTATATCTCTACCAAAAATTCAAAACTGAAAACAAGTAATCCTTTCCATTTTTAGCGAAATTTTTTATGAAGGACAGGGAGATTTAATTACAACTTATTACTTGCTTTATCATGCTCATGATGCAGAATCTAATTGTACAAACATTAATTCCTTGCTCTTGAGAATAACAAGTTTTGTTAGGGAAATAAGATTACAAAGTAGCTTGGGTAGTTGAAGTCCTCGTTGCCTCGTTGATGGCCAAACTAAGTAGCATTTAATCTATTTATTCCCAACTGGGTACCGGGTGAGATCAACCCAGGCTGTCAAGGTGGCATGTTGCAGGGTGAAAGTGGACCATAGACTCCAGAACTGCTTGCAATTATATCAGTCTGTCTGTTGAGCTTCCCCCATTTTAATTTCAGGGCAAATCTTATCAAGAAATTTTTAAAAAATATATATTAAATTTACAAATTATTCCAAAAAAATTGATAATAAAAATCAAACTTAAATCTTACGAATAAAATATTTGCTACTTATTATTAACTCAATTAATCAGTCGCAGTCCGTCTGTCTTATCATCTTCTAAATGTCTTTAATGTTTCCACAAAAATAATAAGCATTCTAAATAAAACTGACCCATCTCTCAACTGTCCGGCCTTCTTTATCGTTAGTATAATTATATCTCTCAACTGTCCGGTCTACTCTCTCATTATCTCCATTAATATCTAACAAATTCTGAGGGTTATTTTATTTAATTTTCAGATTTTGGCATTCCAACACGTAAGTATAATTATACAAATGATAATGGAGTCTGAAAATATAATAGAGTAGTCCGAACTCCAAATACAATATTATAACTTAATAAATTAATATTGAATTTATCATGATATGAATGTTTTGTTGGGTGATTTGTCGAAGCCTACACGGGAATACCACACAGAAATACATCAAAAAATTCATACAATATGTTGAACACTACTTGAATTCAAAAGTTTAAATTATTAAATTTTTGAATCTTTTATATATATATATATAAAGAGAGAGCACATCTTAATTTTATTTTTTGATGATGTAAAATTTTTTATTTATATGTAAATTATCCTAATAATTTTTTTCGTTCACTTGTAAGTCCTCTAAAAAAATCACCTAAACTCTCCCTTGCTAGTAAATCTCCTATCAAAACCTCTTATGGGCCAAGTAACCCACATCTTAGATGATTTCTTAACCTTACCTCTCTGTGCATCTAGGTTATCTTAATACCCCCTTAAGCTTTTACCTCAGGTTAACTCGATATACTGTCTGTCCACTTGAGTATTTCACTTCTACATATCATCAAATATTCGTTGCATCGGTTAACTCAATACACTGTCTACTTGGGTATTATGCTTCTGTATATTATCATATATTCGTTGCATTCAAGTCAAACATTCGATTTTGATACCTATTGTTGGGAGATTTGCTACACTTAGAGCTCACGAGAACACACCAAATAACTTATACATACATATTAGATACCACTTAAGTTAAAAAGCTTAAATTATTAGATTTTTTAATCATTCATGTATATATAAGATATCACAATCTCATTTTTTGATAATGTAAGATTATTTACTCACATGTAAACCATCTTAACATATTCATTACTAAATTTTGTCTCTGAACTTTTAATTTTTTTTTATCTTCAAACTAAAATAATAGAATTGGAAGTTCTACCTTACATATATATATATATATATATAATTTTATTGATTTTCAACCTAAAATAATGGAATTGAAATTCCTACCCCATATATATATATATATATATATATATATGTACACAAGATAACAACTCATGTGTTGCTGCGATTTATCATTTTATTATTTAATAATACTAGATAAATGTAAACACTCTTTTAACACATTTCAAATATCTTGTAGATTTTAAAAGTGAAAAATTCATAATGGTTGGAAATTAAAAAAAAATCATATTTCTATAATTAAAAAGGTAAATGAATCTCAACTATATTGTAAACTAACCCACAATTCCAAATAAAATCTTTCACTCATTTCATCTTTAAAAAAAAAAAGAAATTAAAAGAAAAACAAAGTTACTAATCAATTGTTGTGATTTATTTCATATTTTTTATTAAAATCTTTATTATTAAATCAAAATTATAACGCAATAATAATATAATAAATTTACAATTTTTATAATTGAGAAAAGAGAAAAAAAAAATACTTGCATTGTAAAAGAGATTGCAAGTAACCTGATTGAAAATTAATTTATTAGATAATTATTAAATAAATTCTAAATTTGATGATTCCTTATAAGATAATAGATTTTTTTTTTCAAGTGGATTCTTCAAATCATGAGAAGATTATTCTGTTTTTAAATTTCAATAGAATGGGAGAATTTAAAAGAAAAAAAAAGAAAAACAAATGCAAGAAACAAAAAAGAATTTGGGAGAAAAAGGAGATAAAGAGTTATGACCTAGAATTTGGCAATCAATATCCATTTAAGAGATTATTTTTACGGATGAATGTATTGACTAAACTTTTTAATATAAAAAAAATTTTAAAAAAATTAAGTGAAAAAAATTTATACTTACAATAAAATGTTATACGAATATTTTTTTTTTAGAATGAAAACTAAAAGTAATAAATAAATAATTATATGTAAGGGAGACAATTCATTACTTATATGAAAATTTTGAATAATGCAAATTCATCTCCTTTCAATTTGTAAATAAAATTCATTGTCTGTTGAATAAGGAAATAGAATAATTTTTTAAAAATAAATGAAAAAGGAATATAGATACTGAGGAGGCAGTAGATCAAGAATGGAAGATGAAGTATTCTTAACTCTAAACTCTAAGAGATGAAAGACATAAAAAAAGGGATAATTAAGGTTGAATGACTTAGCAACTTAATGGTCCTACACGACAAAATTCTAGGCAATAGGAAATGAAAATATATATATGTTAAATGTGTATATATATATATATATATATATATTAGTAATGAAAATGACAAATTTTATTACTTTACTTCCAATTTAGTTAGTTTTTTTAATAAAAATAATGAAATCAAAATATTTTTCGAAATATTCTATTAATGTAAGTGATAAATTTTCATCAATTTCTTTACTTTATATGTATAAAAATCAACAAATTAAAAATATAATGAAAGGAATTCAAATAAATTAAAATATAATGATAAAATTTAATATTGATTTATAATATAATGACAATAATTGATCATAACCTCAAATTTATAGTATTTATACACGCTATTTTTGTTTTGGTCTCTCTTCTTCATATATGCACCATTTTAACACAACCCATATAATCTAAATTCTTGCCGGTCCATATTTTCTCAGTTATTAAGGCTACTATGAATTAAGTTCGCCATATTATTATTAATGCTTTTGCCTTTTCTTATGTTCCGTGTTTGATCAGCAATGAAAGCTTGCTACATGCTAACTGGGATTATCGAACAGGCATGGCATACGTGATTATTCCCTGGATTTTCTTCATTCAAATCGTAGCTTTGGCGTCTAAATCCCAAGCTAAAGTGTCTGCTATTATAGTCTTTGGAGATTCATCTGTAGATTCAGGTAACAACAACTACATCCCAACAATTGCAAAGTCCAATTTTGAGCCCTATGGCCGTGATTTTCCCGGAGGCACCCCCACCGGACGGTTCTGCAATGGCCGACTTCCTCCTGACTTCATATCCGAGGGCTTTGGTCTGAAGCCTATTATCCCTGCCTACTTGGATCCTACCTTGAACATCTCAGACTTCGCCACTGGTGTTTGCTTTGCTTCTGCTGCAACTGGCTACGACAATGCTACGGCTGATGTAGTGGTAAGGACTCAGTCACTGAAATTGGGTGGTGTTGATTTTAGTTACTGATAAATTTTACCTGGCACATGGCAGAAAGTGATTCCTCTGTGGAAGGAAGTGGAGTTCTACAAGGAGTACCAAAAGAAGTTACGAGCCTATCTTGGTGATAGGGAGGCGAACGGGATAATCTCAGAGGCCTTATATTTGATAAGCGTAGGAACCAATGATTTCATCGAAAACTATTATGCCCTTCCCCAAAGAAAGTCCCAATTCACTGTTCAACAATATGAGGATTTCCTCATTGCCATTGCTGAAAATTTCGTCAGGCAGATTTACAGTCTAGGAGCTCGAAAGTTGTCCCTAACAGGACTTCCTCCAATTGGGTGTTTGCCGGTGCAGAGAACCACAAACCTTGAGGACCCTCTTAACTGCGTGGAGGAACGCAATAGAGTTTCCTTGGAATTCAATGGCAAGTTAAAAGCTTCGGTGGCAAAGCTGAACAAAGATCTCCCAGGGCTGAATGTATTCTTTGCAGATGTTTATGATTTGCTATTGCAGCTTATCACAAAACCTTCCCAGTACGGTAAGTTTTAACTATCATTGGCCCGTTAACCATCACAATTAATTTACATGCACAAAGATGCTATAGAAATTTATTTTGTTTTCTTTTTCGACAAAAACATAGGAAGATTATAATTAGCCTTGGAACTCATGCATTATATCATAAATGTATCATGTCAAATTTATGTCAATACATAATTTTATTTTTTTATTTTTATCAAATTCATATACAATTTTTGCTAAAATGTTAAATCATATCACTTTTGTATCTTTTATATTATTTTCATATCGTATCACAGTATCATATTTAAAATTATAAGATCTAATTATAATTACCCAATTCTGCCTGAAATGAACTCTTCACCTCTTGACCTTTCATGTTTTAGAGGTCCAAAAGACCTCTCTTAGGATTGCAGAACACATTTAAGCTAATAATTGATAAATAACACTTGTTTGTTGTTGATTGTCAGGATTTGAGGTTGCAGCAAAGGGATGTTGTGGCACAGGGCTGTTTGAGACGAGTATACTGTGCAATCGGCATAATCCACTCACTTGTCCAGATGCAAATAAGTATGTATTTTGGGACTCCGTTCACCCCTCAGAGAGAACAAATAAGATCATCTCAGATCACTTTCTTCCTGCCCTCAAACAACTGTTTCTATGATTTCTCAAACAAATGGAGTATCTATTTTTATCAGTTTCCAACAGAGAATCGATCGGATGACAGGAGATCGAGTCTACATATCCTACTTGGGAGAAACGATGAAGAATTTCCGTTGAACAAAATTGAAATGCCACGAGGCTTTTAGGCAGCTAGAGAACATTATATTTATACATTTTCTCTGAAAGATAGTAGTTCATTGGATGGGCGTTGTATAGCAATAAATTTGGGGTAAATTGTATCTGAAGAAATGTGGGGTAAATTTCTTCACTATCCATAATTATCATATATTTGATTAACTGTCAGCATCGATGAATTGATATCAAAGGCTTAATTTAAATCAGAGGTTGTACCTCCCATATGTAGCATAAAAAAGCACGCAGGTTTGGTATAAATTCTCAATGGAAAATTCAGAAAATTGCCTTAAATTAGATTCATAAACTTATTCAACACATTGTTTAGTACATGGCAAAATGGACAAGAACCAAAGTGTTGTTCTATTTGCTTAAGAAGCTGAACATTCGGCACTTCTTTTAGCTTGGAGTGGCTTTTCATATTCCTCGACAGATTTGATCAGCTCTGCAAAATTGCCTTTGCCAAACCCTCCACATCGGGCATTTCGGCACGCATTTCCCTCTACATCCTGGAGCATACACCCAATTTTTTGAATTATCTCTATGAATGTGGTGGGACGGCCAAGAAAAAAAAAAACTAGTCAAAATAATTAATCAAAGAGAAAATTTGATAAACAGTGAGAGTCACATAGTTTGTAAGTAAAATTTTAGATTTTTAATTTTAAAAATCAGAGTTCATAGTTTGTTGGTAAAATATTATATTTTTAATTTCAATAATCAAAGTTCAAATTCTGGGAGCTCAAATATAAAAAAATTATTAATCAATAGAAATACGGTGATACATGTTTAAGAAAATTAAGTCAATTCAGGTTAGTTTCTATAAAATTAGCAAGTAATAAAAGTAAAATCGTTAGCCATGCAATGTACCTATCTCCAAAGGGCTTAGTGAAAATCTGGAGCAGAGTACCCTGATCATCTCTGTCAACTAATACACCCAATTCTTCACATTCCTTGATTTGCTCGTCGCTTAATACATCCCTGGTTCTCTTCAAATTCTTGTAATATGTTGGCGGTGGTGGCGGCGGCATAAACTCCAAGCCTCCAACCCCACTTCTCTTCTTCATCTCTTTCTGGGATTTGAATACATCCTCACTCACCGATGCAAAATGCTGCACCCCTTCCCCCTCGTTATGTTCCATAACGTTTGTATCTGGCTCCTCGTCTTCATCCCAAACACCGACTCGCAAATCACAAACAGCACCATTTCATTATTGTTTGCTAGAACTAAAAAATTTAGTCCACTGTATACTGTTCCCACATCTTCTGTGGTAAACTCTGCAAACTCATGAAACCCTGTAAACTCTTTCAAATAAGACACTGCTGGACCCAGCTCCGGTACGGCTCCGACCAAATGGTCATGCCGATGGATCCCATAGTCCAAAGGATACGACAGAGTAGCTTTCATCTTTTCAAACCCAGGAAAGAACTCACCATAGTTCTTAGATCAAGGTTCACCATTGTTAGGACTCGCTAGCAATGTGTGGGGTCAACCTCAGTTGTTTGGCCAATTAAAAGCTCCCAATCTTTTTGTCTTTGAGCCTAAAGAGGCCTCCATGATAAAAAAGGGATATTTTTGTGTAAAAAGTGTACGTGTGGTAGCGCCGAAAAGAAAGCCTGAAAAGATAAAAAAGAAAACGGAGAAAGAAAAGTCGATGAAATGAAAGTCAATTTATGAATCCATTAAGTTAAAATTTTATTAATAGATTTATGATTAAGTGTTTTATATTTTAAATAATAAAAATTAAGTTTGAAACTTATCATGAATAAATTTAAAATATATTTATTAAGTTATTTACTTAATGAGATTTATTTAATTATTTTTTTAGTTATCGAATTTTTAATATTTATTATTTGATAGTAGAGATTTTTTGAATGGTTCATAATTTTTTTTTACGTTGAAAGATTTTTATATAAATCTTGATGTATTTTATTTTTTTTATTTTTTAGATTATTGATTGTTGTCTATTGTTATAGATTTATTATGATATATTACTTTTGTTTTGTTGTGTTTATCGTTTCAAGTTTAATATGTTATATCAGAACGATGGTTGTTTTGAGATATTGATACATAATCAACACAAGACAAATAAATTTTATTTGAGATTATAGTGAGTGATACAAATTTTATGATAAAATTAACAATATTAAATTATTCAATTGGAAGCTTATGATGAAAGATCATCAATATTATAAAAATTTGTATGAGCTAGTATTGAGTTATTCAACTAAGGTAACAAATACAAAATATGAAAGTTGAAAGAAGCTAAACAGAAAGATGCATGCTACAATCAAAAAATAAGTTGATATCAATGTATTCTACTGTGTAGTACAAGAGAAAGATACCCATACTGTTTGAAAAAAAATTGACAGCATTGTAGGAGAAAAAAACAGGCATAAATAAAGTTATACTTGTTAAAAAACTTGTAACTTTATAATACAATGATGGACGATCAATTATAAAACACTTGAGTGATTTTCAAGATTTATTTAATCGGATGATTACATGAAGCTTACGATGGATAATGAAATAAAGATATTGTTTCTTTTAGGCTCATTGCCAAACAATTAGAATACTCTAGTTATAATTATTTTTAATTCATCTCCTAATTACAATGTGACATTAGAGATAGTAAAGGACAATATGCTTAATGAAGAAGCAAGGTGAAAAGATATAGATTCTGATAATCAAGCTTTATCACAAATAACAGGGATAGAAACATCGATAGAAGTTAAAACTCAAAAAATCGTAATAAGTCTAAACAAAGATTCAAGTTCAAAGATAAAGTGAAGTACTTTCATTATGGTAAACCATGTCATATAAAGCGATACTGTAAAATCTTGAAATAAGAGCAAAAAGATAAGAAAAATAAGAGTTCAGATGATGGTAATGTTGCAACAGTGAATTTAAATAGTAATTCAGTTACTTTGATTTATACACATGGTGATTGTAATCATATTGATGATCCCTACATTGAGTGAATAGTTGACATATAAGCGGCATAACATTATGTTCTTAAGAAGGAGTTATTGATAACTTACAAAGTAAGAGATTTTGGTTACACCATGATGAGAAACAAGAGTGTATCACAGATTGTTGGGTTTGGTGATATTATTGTACAAACTAATATGGGCTGCATGTTGACTTTAATGTTAGACACATTTCGGATATGAAAATGAACTTACTTGTCACTAATGTTTTTTATAAGGAAAATTTAAGAGTCGACAAAAGAATAGATAGTGAAAGCTTTTCAAAGGATTTATGATAATTACAAGAGAAAAATTATACTGCATAATGCACAAGACATGGATGCAATTGAATAATAACCAGATAAATATAATGGATGATGATGTTTTAGCAAAAATATGACACAAAAGGCTGACACACATGAGTGAAAAAAAGGTTATAGATTTTAGCAAGGCAATCTTTCATTACCTTGACCAAAAGTATATCTTTCGATTCATGTAATCATTATTTGTTTGGCAACCATCGTATAGTTTATTTTTGTAAGCATTCTTAGAAAAAAAATAGATTGAAATTGATTCATTCTAACGTATGTGGTCCTATTGAGGTTGAGTCATTAAGTGATAGTAAGTATTTTATTACTTTTATTGATGATGCTTCATGTAAAACTTGGGTGTATATGTTAAAAAATAAAAATAAGATATTTTAGTATTTTTAAAAATTTTATGCCATAGTGGAAAGAATGATAAGGTTACCCTTGAAATGTATTCGGACTAGTAATAATAGAGAATACGCATCCAAAGACTTTAAAAATAACTATTTAAAATATAGGATCAAGCATAAGATAACAAAACTTGGAATACCGTAACATAATGGTGTAGTTGAAAGGATGAATTACACCATTATAAAAAAAGTCAGATGTATGTTAAGGATGACAAATTACCAAAGCTATTTTAGGGTGAAGTAGTCAACAAAGCTTGTTATTTACTTAACAGATCACCATCAGTTCTTTGGGCTTTAACATTCTAAACAAAGTGTGGACAGGGAAAGATGTTTTATACTCTCACTTGAATATTTTTGAATGTAAAACATTCATGTATCTGCCAAAAAAATAGAGGTTAAAAGTTTATAGTAAAGTCACATAGTGTGTGTTTGTAAGATATGATGACTAAGAATTTAGCTATAGGGTATGAGATCGGTGAAGAGAAAGATAGTCAGAAACAAAGATGTGATTTTTCATGAAAAAGAAATCATAATAGACTTTGAAAAAAATGACAAGACTATACGAGTTACTATTGAGTATGATATTTCAACATTGATAGAAGTTTCACTAGAAAGAGCCAAGATGAAAAAAAATGAGTAAGAGATAGAACTTGAAAATATGAATGAGTCAGCACAATTAGTGATGAGTTAGATGCAATTAGTTTTAAGTAGGGAAGCAATCATTTCTATCTAAGAGTGTTGAGTAAAGTAAGTAGTCTTTTTCATTAAAGATTGTTAAGCAGCACGAGTTATCTTTGAAATCAGCTAATGTAGAGTCTCAGCCTAAGAAAGCACGGGCTATCCATTAGGTATTCATATTTTATTTTAGTTACCAGTGAAGAAGAGTCAAAAAATTTCTAAATTGTGTAAACTACTCCAGATAGAAAACATTGGTTAAAAGCAATGAAAGAAAAAATAAAGTCATTGTAAAAAAATAATACATATGATCTTGTTAAACTTTCAAAAAGGATGAGGCCATTAAAAAATAAATGAGTGTTTAAGTTAAAAAAGATTATGACAAACTAGTAAGGTATAAAGCTTGATTAGTGATGAAAAGTTTTTCTTAAAAATTCAACATAGATTTTGATGAGATTTTCTCTCCAGTTGTGAAAATGAGTTCTATTCAAGTAACATTAAGGTTAGTAACTAGTTAAAATCATGAGCTTAAGCAATTTGATGTTAAGACTGTATTTTTGCATGATGAATTATAGGAAAATATATATAGATTAGCTTAAGAATTTTTAAGTGAAAGAGAAAAAACACTTAGTTTGTAAGCTAAAGAAAAGCTTGTATGGCTTGAAACAAGCTTCGTAATAGTAGTACAAAAAGTTTGATTCTTTTATAGTGAGCTATAGTTATAAAAAAATGACAGTAGATTTTTATATGTATGTTAAAAAATTCTCTGATAGTAATTTTATTATTCTCTTATTATATGTTGATGATATGTTGATTGTGAGATAATATGTCAGTATGGTTTATAGGTTGAAAAAATAATTGTCTAAGTCTTTTGACATGAAAGATTTAAGTCTAGCAAA